TTAATAAAAAAATCGTTATTTCCATACATCCATACATCCATATATCCATATATACATACATCCATATATACATACATCCATATATACATATTATATATATATATGTATATATCTATATATATGTATATATGTATATAATCAATTTTACAAATAAAGTATATTTCCCTATTTATTTGCATCCAATCCCATGGATGACATATTCTCCCATGAAATCAAATGTGACTCTCTCTATGTTGTAGAAATCATATACTTTTTCAAAACATATGTTTCTCAATAAGTTTTAACATTTCAATTGACCAGATCGAAAAGTAAATAAAGTAAATACATATATATGTATATATGTATATATCTGTATATATATATGTATATATATATGTATATATATATGTATACATATACATATATATATATATATATATATACGTATATATATATATATATACACGTATATATATATATATATACACGTATATATATATATATATACACGTATATATATATATATATACACGTATATATATATATATATACACGTATATATATATATATATACACGTATATATATATATATATACACGTATATATATATATATATACACGTATATATATATATATATACACGTATATATATATATATATACACGTATATATATATATATATACACGTATATATATATATATATACACGTATATATATATATATATACACGTATATATATATATATATACACGTATATATATATATATATACACGTATATATATATATATATACACGTATATATATATATATATACACGTATATATATATATATATACACGTATATATATATATATATACACGTATATATATATATATATACACGTATATATATATATATATACACGTATATATATATATATATACACGTATATATATATATATATACACGTATATATATATATATATACACGTATATATATATATATATACACGTATATATATATATATATACACGTATATATATATATATATACACGTATATATATATATATATACACGTATATATATATATATATACACGTATATATATATATATATACACGTATATATATATATATATACACGTATATATATATATATATACACGTATATATATATATATATATATACACGTATATATGTATATACATGTATAATATGTATATACATGTATAGATATATATATGTATATACATGTATATATATGTGGGTGTGTGTGTGTGTGTGTGTGTGCTGCATACTGTGATTCTTTGATTGACAGAGTTTGTAAGGCCCCTGGGTTGATTTCGCTTATCTGTGTGATAGAATTCTTAGACACATGAAATTGATTGGGAGACTTGTACAATAGTCTATAACCAATCTTTTGTAATATAAATATGTAGACACACACACACACACACATATTGTAAGCCATGCATGATAATTCTCAGGTTTTAGAATGTTTTTTGGAAAATTTACATATGGAGAACACAGTTTTTATATAATTATTTCTCACATCTAAATTGTCATATTTACATACATAAATTTAGTGTTTTAAATTTATAACTTAAAAGGTGTATTTTTATTTTAGAAAGTGATAATAATACTACCATTTAGTGATACAAACGATTTATGCGATATAAATATAAAAAATTAGGTGTGAGAGGTAAATAAATAAAAGTAATGTGCTGATTATCTGAATGACCCAACAATCTTCCCCTCACGCCGGCTAAAAGCTAACCACGGTCACCAACCGATTTCATGAGTTAGCCGTCTTTCTGCGAGCGCTCGCTGCTCAGCCAAATGTTTCGTCTTTTTCTAGCAGACGGTAACCAAGCTGCCCTCTGAGCTCGTTCCCTGCCTCACTCCTTCCTTCCCACTAATCGCAACCAAAACTTCAATCAAACGGAGAATTAAACCCAAGGAACCCTAGCATCCTCATTCTCACTTACAAAACCTAAGGCTCAATGGCCTCTAAGCTTGGGCTCGCCGGTGGGATGCCGGAGCGAAGGGTACGGCCGATATGGGACGCAGTCGATTCTCGTCAGTTTAAGACGGCTCTTAAGCTTTCAACTGCGCTTCTAGCGAAGTACCCAAATTCTCCGTATGCTCTTGTAAGTTCCCTCTGTTGTCGTATTCAAACCATAATCTTTTTTTCTTGTCATTTCTATTCCAATCTGGGATTTCTTACTTTGCAGTTGTAGTTACTCCCTTGTAAAATAAGGACTGAAATTTGATAGGGAATTGTGTTAAGGAAGTTTAGTGAACATTGGGGCATTTCAATTTGAGAGAAAATGCAATACTCCCTATGAACCCTTAACATGATCCGAGGTATGATGTTGTTGAGGTGATTGCCTGAAATTGGCCTGTAGTTTATAATTTTACATTTATTATTGAACCCTTAACATGTATCATGGAAGCATTATAACTATTTCATTCTCGAAATTAAAAATTCTTTCCACATTATGATAGTACAACACCAAGTCAAACAATACATATGAAGGTGCAAGTTGCAGTAAAAATGTTTTCTGGATGAGAGATGCACGAGATGTAAAACTAGGAAAAAAGGAAGCTAATTAGTTATTTAACTAAACATTTGTTATGATGATCAAAGTTATGGTGGATTCGCACCCACTAGTTACATATTATAGACTATATGTGTACCAGGAAGGAAGTAAAATAGTAAAGGGAGAAAAGAGGAGGAAAAATGCACGATGATCTCAATAAATTCTTGTACACTAGAAAAGGGATAGAGCTCAGCTTCTCACATGAGTTTTCTGGAATGGAATTAAAGTAGTTCCTTACTTGAGTGTCAGAGGTATCTAGGTCATATGCCTCTTCAATTTAGCTAAATTGAAACATTTTGTGGCATATTATTGTCATCATGGAGATTCAATTTTTATTCCGCTTTAAATGAAAACTTGAATTATGTTTATGGCATAAAAAAGTAAGACTAACTCACCAATCATTGATTAACATAGGGTCCATTTGGGTTTGCTATTGCTTTTTCTATAATTAGCTGTAAAGATTTTATGGAGAAAACAATTGTTTAAAAGCTGCTATGACTATGTAAATGTTCTCCTTTTCAAAAAAGGCGAACAATAGCTTTCTTACTGTTACTACACTTCAGTAGTTCTGGCTATAAAAAATAGCTTTCCATCACAAAGATTTTAGAAATCAACAAGAAATTTATAGCAAAAAAGAACTGTGGTGTCGTTTGAAAATTAAAGCAATGAGAAACTGAAAGACTCTTATTTTCTTAGTTATGTTAGCATGACATTTTTTAAATACATTTATATGGTCCATCCTTACTCCTAAAGAAGAATACAAGGTAAAAAAAATAAGAAATAAAAAACTTGAATGCTAAAAAAGATAAAAATAAATCTTTTTACCAAATTTGTTTTGGCTGTTTTAAGCTCAAGCTTTCCACATTTCTTTCTTGAATATTAAATAATTGTGCTTAAAAGGGGAAAATTCATTTTTAAATTAGCAATAGCTTGTTTTCATTCTTTTTTTTGTTTGATACATCATCTAAATTTAATATTCTTCCTTTTGATATGTTTATTAGTTCTTGATATAATTTATAAATGGGTTTATTTGTTTTTCTTCGAAACTGCTGCAACAATGGGTTAAGTGATGTTTAGCTTATCACTTTATATTTTTGAAATTTTCTTGTGAAGAACTAGAATTTTACTATATTTTTAAAACTTTTGGTGTGATTACAGAATTTCTTCAAGCATGTGGGGAAATTTTATAAAAACTAGGAAGTGATTGCTTAACCCTTTAACAAGTGGAATTGTTTATTAAAAGGTGGAACATAAATTTCACGAGTTTATGTTTATATTTTGAATAAAGAGATGCAAGAAGGTTTAATAAAATAAAGGCTAAAATTTAAGAAAATTAATTGAAAAGGTATATAGCACAAACACACACATTCATCAAATGTTTGAAAACAAAAAGATGATTTGTTCACATCTAGTAGCCCACTTGGAAGTCTAATTTTATCACTACATTTCACTAATTTAAACAATCTAATATATTTAAATAGCATCAAATATCTATGTATTTAATTGTAATCCATTTTAGAAACTAGGCATTGAAATTGAATTATTTCATGAAATCAGAGCCATCGTTTGTGTAAAGTTTTATTCATCCAATTGATGATCAAATTTTTAAAAGTTCTTAAAATAGTGCTTGCCACTTACTTTAATGATGTTATGGAGAATAGCTGCTTTAGATCTAACTTTTGAAGGCATAATGCTAGTTTTTAAATGGAAGGATAATGACAATGCTCTTCTTAGGAAGTTAGAAGTTCATTTCCAACTATACATTGCTTTATAATTGACATAGAGCAAATTCAACCACCAAATATTTTTATGCAATTTTTGAATACATTAGCATTTATGTAGGTGGATAGATAGATACATAGGAATAGACTTCTCATCTTCAAGTTTTGTTTTTTAATTTATTATTTATTATTATTATTATTATTATTTTTTATATATTTCATTAAATCGTATTGCAATTTATTTGACCCTCATATATATATATATATATATATATATATATATATATATATAAATTATTTTAAGCCAAAAGAAGCCGAACACGAATGAACAAAACAAGCCGAACATGAATGAACAAATTTTTATTCTTTTTTGACACGTTTATATATTGAGCGCAAAAAAATTGTTCGTGTTCGACTGGTTTGGACTTGCTTAGTGAACAAATCGAATACGAGCTTTTTAACTAGCCGAACACGAACTGTTCGCGAACATCGAGCCTTTTTGACAGCCCTACATGCGAAAGAAAAATGATACAACACTCTATTATGTCATAAATCATAGATACAATCTCTGAAACACACAAACCAAATTAAAAGTCTTCCAAAATAGATAAAAACACACACGCATATAGTCTCATATTAGAAATAAATAAATAAGAAATAAATAAAAGAAGGCAATAAATTCCCTCATGTGACTATGTTAGGACATAATATGCTTGGATCGGGCTTTCCACGATCGCGAAAACTCTTATTCCACAATATTGCAAAATATTCATGAACGGGACGGGATCCTTATTCCCGTGATTTTAGCGAGACTCTCCCGTGTTACTTGAAGTCGCCCAAACATTAGAAAGTTTTTTTTAAACTTGCATTAAAATGGAGAAAAATGATAATGTTTGTTAAAAATGAAAACACCAAGAAATGACAAAGAAACTTTTAAATGAGGGGTTTAAATTAGAAATTATTATTGACGATAAAAATGAAAAATATGCTGAAGCGTATAATAGATCGATAAAAAAAAATCAAATAGAGTTGGCTTTAAAAAAGATTAAAAATATGCTGAAGCGTATGTTGACCTCAAATTTTCGTGAGGTCTAGTATTCCCGTATAATAGATCGATAAAAAAAAAATCAAATAGAGTTGGCTTTAAAAAAGATGCGTAAAGGCTTAAGCTTTAGGTCCATATATGATATTTATTAAGATTTGTGAAGTTATGTGGATATTGTAGTGATTGATTTACACACCATTTGAATAGAATTTTGAAGACTAAAATGATGTTAAATCCGTGGAGGCATATTTTGATACTCCTTTAAGAGCAAGGGTGATGTTCTCGATCTTGCTAATAATAGAGGGATAATACTTATCATTTATAAAGCTTAAAAAGTACATAAACCTTAGATAATCAGTTTGGTTTCATGCCATAAATTTATATAATTGAATAATTTTTTTTTATCAAGACAATTAGAGGAGCGCAAAATGATAAAAAATAATCTTCATATGATTTATACTGGACTTAAGAATATATGATTGAGTATAATAGGAATTGCATACCAATATGAATTGATTTGGTATGCCTAAGGTTGAAAGTTGAGTGTTAAAGATGTATTGACATTATTCAAGATATGTATGATGAAGATATTTATTAAAATTGGTAGTTATGGAGTGATCCAAGAGTTTTTAACAATGCTAATTTTATTTTAAGGATCAATATTGATTCTTTATTCTTTTTTATATTGGATATGGAGATGCTTATAAAGAATATATGAAGCGAAGTGCCTTGTTGTATATTTTTCTGGATAATATGGTTTTAATTAGTAAAGCATTCATTAAAATAAGTGAAAAAATTTTAAAAAGTTGTTCAAATATTTATAAGATATATCTTGGAATTAGTAAAGGAATGATTGAGTATACAATATGATATTTTAGTGTGTGTGATGTTAGCATTTATCATTTATGATTATTGAAAGATAATGTGATACTTTGATGTAACTTGTTAAATATCCTGGATCTGTTGAATAGAATAATGCATATATATTGAATTTGATTTTTATAGTTATGAATAGATGATAAAATGGAGAAGTGCCACACAGTTTTTATGTGTTCAAAGGATATCGAGGAGGTTTAGAGATAAATTTTATAAACCCTTGGTTTGGTCGATGATGTTGTATGCATTTGAATATTGGGATTTGAAGTTGTTATTGATATTTGATTTGATTGTGACAGGAACGAGAATGTTAATATGGAAATGTGAAAAAATTCGGATGGATAAATTAATGAAAATTATGTTGGAGAAAAAGTTGGAATGATATGCAATGAAGATTATTGAAAACTTACTTTAGGTTGTTTGGACATGCAATAAAGGATAGAAAAAGCACCTTTACATGAACAGTTCAAAATGATATGCGATGATTAAGTTTAACGACTTAGGAACATATGAAAAATATGGACTTATAATGCAGATTCAAACTATTTGGGATAAGGCTTATGACGGCGATGATCATACTCATTTTATATACTTATCACATACGCTCGTATACTTGTCAGAGAGAAAAGTAAAGGATTAAAAGAGGTGACATGCAAATGATTGTACCTTAATTGAAAAAGGGTTTAAGATGTACAATTTGTTCTTTTTAATGCAAGAACTGTACATTTAAGTTTATTTTCAACCATTAGAAATCAAATAATATTTCATTGTAACTAAGGTGACTATATAGACTTGAGGTTTCATGAGTAGAAGTTTTTTAAAAAGATTTGTGAAGAATATGCTTAACACCTTGGATAGTACTTGCCAATATCAATTGAAAAATTTAAATTCATAATACATATTTAAATTTTTTGGGATAAGACTACTTATGATGATGTTCCTACTTATTATATGAACATGTCACTTAACCCCGTATATTATATGTCAAAGAGAAAAGTGAAGTATTAAAAGTACTAATTTTACCTTCCTTAAGAAGTGTTTAGGATGCACAAATTAATTTTCTTAACTGTTAGAAATGAGAATTCTACATTTAGGTTTCTTTTTCTGCACTAGAATTCAAATTATGTTTTTTTTTTCTTAAATTTAAGTAGCTTTATATGCCCTACAAAGTAAACACACCATTTCAAGAAAAGCGTTTGGAAAATAAGCAAAACTGTACAGTTGGGATTTTTATCCAAAAAATTTGATGCTTCCAAGTTAAGTGATTAGCATAAACTCTAAATTAAAATAATAAGCTTTAGAGAAAAGAAACGATTCCAAGATGTTGCTTCAAAGCATTTTAGAAGAGCTTTACTTTTGAGTGCTAAAAAGATGTGTAAAGCAAGTTCTTTAAAAGAATTGCTTTATTATTATATTTTTAAACCTAACAATGTTGAGGGCATGGTGATCTTCATTGTTATTAATAATATTATCTCAACTTTTTTGGATTGTTTTTAGGAATTTTCATTCGCCATTCTTCTTCTTTGTTGAGTTGTGCATGAGTAGTTAAACCAATTGGACAAAACTTGATGCACAATTTGTGTCTAAGTTACCTTCAATTACTTCTTTTTTTCTAAACCTTCAACATTAATTTTATCTACAAGTCTCATTACATCTTCCACGTAGTACATTCTCAAACCTCCCAAGTCTATTATTTTTATTTTATTATTTATAGATGATACTCCCAATGTTCCTTTATATTATTTGTTTTTTGCTCCACATATCCATCTTAACATTCTTTTTTCTTCCCAATTCAACTTTTTCAACGACTTTTTTGCTGCTGAGCACTTATATCCAGGCAACATAAATGGCTTAAATATGTTTCTACATCTACTTTTAAGTCTCTATGGTATTTCTCTTGTTTTTGTGGTACTTATATGGCATCTCTATTTCAAACACCTAGGCCTAGATCTAAAGCTATTTAACACTGCTGAGTGATATCAGATATCATATTGTTTTAGTCTTTTACATCTTATTAGCTGGCATGCCTATGAATTGTGTCTACAGCTTTCACTCATTCTGTTTATTCTCTGCCCTTCTTATTATCAATTTAGTGTTACAGATTCTAACATCCACATTGAAATGGTTATCACCAGACTATGTTTATACAGTATTTTGAAATCTTCATGTACTTTGTGTCAGGCACTCAAGGCTCTCATTTTGGAAAGGATAGGGAGGCTTGATGAAGCACTAAGTGTTTGTTTAGAGGCCAAAGAGCTCTTATATTTGAGTAATTTGAATATGGTTCCAATTGATGATCTCACCCTCAGCACTTTACAGATTGTATTTCAAAGGCTTGATCGCTGTCTGTATCACTACTCTTTGTTACATTCTTTAATAATCATCAATATCTTGTAAGGATTTATATTCTGAGTCTTATTTTATGTTCATCTCTCCAGTGGACCTTGCCACTTCATGCTATGAACATGCTTGTGGAAAGTTCCCAAGTAACTTAGAATTATTGATGGGTCTTTTTAACTGTTATGTGCGTGAGTATTCGTTTGTGAAGCAACAGCAGGTATTTTTGATGAGGCAGTGCTTCTTGAGTTTTACTTCTCCACTAGTGATTACTGATTTTGTTGTGCGGTTATTTTTTGCAGACTGCCATTAAGTTGTACAAGATTGTTGCTGAAGAAAGGTTTTTGCTTTGGGCAATTTGCAGCATTCAATTGCAGGTTGTCATATTGACTATTCATTGAAATTATTTTAGATCTTTTGTGGGTGTTCAGTATTTGCTTACCATCAATACAAGTATTGGGTTACTCTAGATGCAATGCATGCTGTAACTTTTGACTTTTGTTGATTTTTTATAGATAAATAAGCAATCAGAAGCAATTGAAAGTGTCCTAACTGAAAACAATATTTGTTACTTATGTTTAGCGTGCATGGTTGATTATTTATATCGCTGTCTTATTGTTTGCTGCATATGTACTTTTTTTTTGCCCATTATGGAGTTTATCTTTTATGGAAGCTAACATATGGAGATTACCTCCTTAGGTTACAAATGTTTTGTTCATTCTTCAATCTTAATCCTATAAAATGCCTTTCAATTTTATGTGTTTCAATTTGAAAATTGATACGATGCCAATGATATTTTGTTTCATAAGTGACATGAAGCCTTTAACACATAGAAGTGGCTGTTACTCTGATGTCATGCGATCATTGTATCCTAATATATTTTTTCAAGCCAGATCTGAAGTGAATGGTTCATTTTCTTTTGAGAAAATGATCAAAATAGCAACTCGATTAATTTTAGTGTGTGTGTGTGTGTGGTTTTTTTTTGGGGGTTGGGGGGCGGGCTTCATCTTAGTATCATAATATATAATAGGTTTCACTTAATCCCTGCACTCCTAACGCGGGAGACAACATATTCTTGCTTTTAAAAGTAATAAAAATTTAAGTGAAAATTAACAAATTGTGTTTAAAATGAGAGTATTTTAAAAATTTGCAATATTAAAATTCTTACAGAATCTAGTTTTGAATTTATCTTTTTTTGAGATATAGTCTATCTATAATATTTCCAATATCTTTAATTTTATTTCAGAAGCTTTGTAAAGAAATTAATACATAATAAATTTATAAATTTTAGCAATTATTATTGATATATTTTCTTAAAAAATCTTAAACTTAAACAGATAATTTGCTTAATAAAATATTTAAGCTGCTGTGTGAAGAAATTAATACATATTAAATTTGTAAATTTTAACAATTATTATTAATAAATTTTCTAAAATAATCTCAATCCTAAACTAATAATTTATTAGTTATAAAAATTTCAGAAAAATGTAAATTTTTATTGTTCACATTTTTAACACCATCCGCTAACTTTTAATTTTACTTTAATTTCAATTAATTTTAATGATGAGATTATTTTGACTTCTATTTTTAGAGTCAAAGGATTAAGTTGAATCTTTTATATAATATGATATTACAATGTACTTGAGGCGGGTGCTCCCTTGGACTGGACGCGGTAGGAGCTGGAAAAGGCTTGCTATTTAGGACCGGTTTAGCGGCGAAGTAGAGGGGGTCGACCGGTATCTTAGAGGTCAGGTTGCCGCCCAATAGGAGTGGTACGCCATTAGTTATCTAGTATTATATATATGTTGTTTTTATGTTTCTTGGGTAGCTTTTACGTGTGTTTGCTGGGACAGTTGTCAGCGTCTCTAGATTTTCCGTTCTACGAAAGTATCTAAGGGCGAGTCGTGCTCCGGCTATATCTTGTTTCGAGGTGGTAATTATCCTTAACTTTCCCATGCTCTACAACCTTCCCTTCGTTGTCGTGGGGAAAATTTCAAACTCCTCACAGATACACAAGCGTAGGATAAAAGAACAAAAAAATTGTGTTACTGCTGTGCCGAGAAATATACCCTAGGCCGCCGTTGTAAGTAACACGCCTTTCAGATTCTTCTTATTTAGGAGGAGGATATAGAAAGTGAGGAGTCATAGGAGGATGCGGTGGAGGAGCATTTACATTTGGATGTGGCAGAGGTATCCCTCAATTCGGTGGTGGGATTTACCCCGAATCACATCATGAGGGTGAGGGGGTGGATTGGAGAACAACCGATTGTGGTGTTGGTGGATAGCATGGCCACACATAACTTTATCTCAAATCAGATTGTGGAGAAGCTAGGGTTGGAGCTGGTGATTACATGGAGCTTTGGCGTCATCGTTGGTACGAGGAAGGTGGAGAAAAGTCGGGGAATTTGCAAAGGGTTGGTTCTGACATTCCATAGCTTACAGGTGGTATAAAACTTTCTTCCCTTAGATTTGGGTAGCACAGTTGTGATTTTGGGGATGAAGTGGCTGCGAACGCTGGGACAGATGAACAGGGATTGGAAGTCCCTGACGAGGGTAGAAAGGTGACGCTGAGAAGTGATACTAGTTTATGCAAAACTATGGTATCACTCAAAACCATGGTCAAGTCGATACAGAGAGCAGAACTCGACTACCTGGTAGAGTTGCAGAGCATTGAAGAGGTTTGAAGATCAGAGTTGACAAAGTTTCTTGAAAGGTTCTAACAGCTTCTACAGCAGTTCAAGGATGTCTTCTCCAACAATCAAGCGGGTTACCTTCCCGTGGGAGCACAAACATGCTATTACCTTGAAGGAGGGTGCTCCCTCATCAGTGTCAGACCATACAAATACCCTCATATTCAAAAGGATGAGATAGAGAAGTTGATCCTAGAGATGCTCAAGACCGGGATTATCTGGTCTAGTGTGAGCTCTTTTTTTAGTCTCGTCCTGTCGATGAAGAAAAAATATGGTAGTTTGAAATTCTACATGGACTACCAAGCTTTGAACAAGGAGTCGGTGTTGGACAAGTTTCCTATTCCTGTGATTGATGAGTTGCTGGATGAGCTTTATAAAAGGACTATTGTTTTAAAAATTAATCTTAAGTCGGGACCACCAGACCAGGATGAATTGAATGGATGTGCACAAGACGACGCACCAGACAAATGAAGGACACTAAGACAAATGAATGACACTATGAGTTCTTAGTGATGTTGTTTGGTCTCACAAACACGCTTTGATCCGTCATGAATAGAGTTTTCCAACCTTACCTCTAGAAATTTTTCTTGGTATTCTTTGATGACATTTCAGACAAATGAAGGACACTATGAGTTCTTAGTAATGTTGTTTGGTCTCACAAACACGCTGGCGACATTTTGATCCGTCATGAATAGAGTTTTCCAACCTTACATCTAGAAATTTTTCTTGGTATTCTTTGATGACATTTGATCTACTACAGTTGTACAGAGACAGAGCATGTGAGACACTTAAGGGCAGTCCTGGAGCCGTTGAGGTAGCACCAGTTATATGCCAACTTGAAGAAATGTTCTTTTGCATAGTTGAAACTCGAGTACATGACATATGTGGCAACTAGAACGGGGGTAGCAGTTGATTAGTCCAAGATCAATGCTATGGTTGATTGGCATTTACCAAGAAGTTGAGGGGATTCCTTGGTCTCACCGGCTATTACTGGAAGTTCGTGAGAGGATATAGCACAATAACATGACCACTGACGGGGTAGTTGAAGAAAGTCATTCTTAAATGGGAGGAAGTAACAACATATGCATTTGAACATCTGATGAGGGCCATGACTAGCGTACCAATATTAGCACTTACAAATTTCATTAAACTATTTGTGATGGAGACAGATGCATCAGGGTACGGATTGGGAGCATTGCTCATGCAAGAACAACGACCAATTGCCTACTTCAGTCAGGTTCTTAGGACCAGAGATAGACTAAAGTTAGTATATGAACGGGAGTTGATGACAATTAACTTGACCATTTAGAAGAGGCGACCCTACCTGTTGGGATGATATTTTGTGGTTAGGACAGATCAAAGGAGTCTAAATCTTCTGGAGTAGCGGATGGTGACTGAGGAGCATCAGAGATGACATTCAAGCTACTGAGGTATGATTTCGAGATTCAGTACTGACCAAAATTTGAGAACAAGGCAGTGGACACACTGTCAAGAAAGGTGAATGAACCCCTATATTGAGAAGCCTTGAGACAAGAGAGCGAAAGGGATGAGGAGCTGAGGAAGATAAGAGCCGAATTACTACGAGATCCGAACAGTCATCCAGGATGTGCATTGAGGGGACAACAACTGCTTCATCAGGCGCGTTTCGTGCTACTCAATTCTTTTTGAGTATATTCCGAGATTAATACAAGAGTTTCATAGTAGTGTTATCTGGGAACACTCAGGGGTGCAGAAGACCTACAGTCGTCTGACGACAAAACTTTATTGGGTGAGGATGAGCAAAGACGTCGGGGATATGGTGACAAAATGTGACGTATGTCAGCGACACAAGTACTTGAACACGACACCAGGGGGGTTACACAACCATTAGCATTGCCGGGAAAGGTTTGGGAAGAAGTGACGATGGATTTCATCTAGGGATTGCCACATTCAGAAGGGTTTACGGTGATCATGGTAGTCGTGGATCGCCCGAGTAAGAATGCACATTTCATTCCCTTACGATAAATCTCAGTCGCAGCAGTGTTTATTCAGGAAGTGGTCCGTTTGCATGGAGTACTGGAATTGATTGTTTCGAATAGGGATAATGTGCTCCTCAACCACTTTTGGAAAGAGCTATTCATGTTGCAAGAGACAATCCTTAAGAGGAGTACCACATATCATCCCCAAACTGATGGATAAACGAGGGTGGTCAACAGGAGGGTGGAGACATACCTGCTTTGTTCTGTATCTGATACACAGAAGCTATGGGCCAAGTGGATTGCATGGGCTGAATGTTGGTATAACACGCCGAAGCTATGGAGCGGATATTGGTATAACACGTCGTACCACACCACATCACAGACCACCCCTTTCAAGATATTGTATGGGCGGGATCCACCTCACTTGGTACATTATGGGCATGGCGCCATACCGATATCTAGCGTCGATCAAGGAGAGAGACATGATACTAGCAAAGCTCATGGGACATTTACTAAGAGCTCAACAAATCATGTAGAGGAAAGCTGATGAACACAAAAAAGAGGTGCAGTTGAACCAGGATATATGATCTACTTGAAGCTGAGACTATATCGACAGAAGACATTGGCCAGGAGTGAGAAACTTTTACCATAATACTTTAGACCATATGAGGTGATGACACATAACGGGGAAGTGATTTATCGTTTGAGGTTATCATCATCGTTCACACTATAGTCGGTCTTCCATGTGTCACCACTGAGACGTGCGATTAAAGATCATATACCCTCGCTTACACTACCGTCGACACTGATAGAAGACCTGGATGTGACTTTGGTTTACAATCATCGTTCGCATTACACATGATTTTCCATGTGTCACATCTGAGATGTGCGATTGAAGATCATACACCATCGCCTACACTATCATCGACGCTGACAGAAGACCTAGAGATGATTTTGGAGTTGTTAGAGATCGAAGGACTGCGCCGAGTAGGGGAAGCAAATGAGGTATTGGTCAAATGGAAGGTGCTATCAGACCATGAAGCAACATGAGAGCCTTATGAGGTGATTCTCAAGTACTTTCCATCCTTCCATCTTGAGGATAAGGTACTTTTTTGGGAGAGGAGTAATGTTACGCCCATACACGAGCCTATACACCTTGGACCAGATGGAAGCGTTATAACTGGCCCACAGGCAGCCAAGTCTTGGCGACAGGAAGAAGTGAAGAGAAGGGAAGTTGCAAAAGAAGAAAAGGAAATGTTAGGGTTTACTAGGGCCATAATCACCTATGCAAAGAGGAGAAATTAAGGGAGTTTGGAGGGTAAATTAGGAAGGAAAGTTTTTTAAATGCTGTGAGGGGATGTTATTAGGGGGAGAACCTAGAGCTCGCTTTCTTTATACTTTATTTGGTTGGTTCCTGTGTTTTCTTCTTTTGGGTGGTGTTCCTAGCGACATCTAGGGTGTTGGAGAGCCGATCAATCTCTCAAAAGTAGATTATCTTTTGCATCTTGCTTGTTTGCATTTGTTTTTCATAAGAGCAGCCCTTATTTGACTTATTTCCATCTATCTATCGCTGTTTCACTGTTATTGTTTGCTGATTTTGGTGCCGAGGCATATCAGATTACTACATGAGAGAAGATGAAGAGAGTTGCAACGAGAGTACCTACCCGCACTATTGTCAAAATCTTTTCTTGAGGCTCCACTACCTAAACAGAGAAACCTATTAGTGGAGGAGTACACAACAGAGTTTATGCTGCTTAGGCTGAAATGCGAACTGACGGAGTTAGAGTAACACATGATAATCAGGTATTTGAGATTTGAAGCCCACCATTTGCAACGTGGTTCAACTATTGCTTTATTTCTCTAGCTTTGGCGGGATCCTCATGGACAGAAAAATATTGCAGCCAGTTTGATAATAATTGAGTGACATTATTTTTTCTATCCAATGAATCAATTAGATATGATGCAAAATGGATCTTGTTCTATCGTTGATAAGAGATTTCTATATGAAAAATACGAATTGGAGTTTGAAGAAGGGTGGAGTTTGAAGAAGGGGAGTTTGAAGAAGGGGATGGTATCCGCAACAGATAGAAGAGGATTTATTCAGGGTCTGTTTGGGGCAGCGGTAGCTTATTGAATAATCTGCTGATAAGCTGATTAAAAATAATCCACTAATAAGTTAGGTGCGGTGACTATTACAAATTTTTATTTTTTTGGAAAAGCCAGACTGTTGCCAATAAGCTGCCACCGCACCTAGATAGGTGCAGTGTGAAAACGTTGTTTTCTGCGTTTTGAAAACACATAAGCTACCAAAACGCAGTTCACCCAGAGTCATCAATCACATAGTTTGGGCTCCTAGAATATGACGATTTGATTGTATCGAAAGGCTCACTGAATTGAGATTTCCCTATTGGACTGGGTGATTTCGGTGCAAATGGATCATTTTTCATAAAACGATGAGCTTCAAGAGAATGATTCAGAGTTCTTGCATAGTGGAACCATGTAGTACCAGACACGAGATAGTTCTTCCAAAGAACAAGGTATTTTTCTAGAAAAACAATTCATTTTGAACTTTTGGTGACATTCTGACCTTAACGCTGAACGTGGAGAGACAACAGAAGCAGAACAGTCATCCACTGCCATTTAGGCAGCCACCCACAACTCCATAAGTTTACACTCAAGATAAATGAGAACTATGGTCAAGAGAATGATAAGGCTGCCCTGAGTTAGCAGAGGCTTGAGAAGAGCAACACCCTCAATAAAATCCCAGACAGAAAATGCTTTAGATGTCATGATTTTGGATATATTACTTTCAGTTGACCGACTAGCCGAGTTATATCCTTCGCTGAGTAGGGTGTGATAGAGGAAGTGAACAAAGAGGAGTTAGTTGAAGAACATGGTGAGGAGTACCAACTTTCACCAGATGAGGGCATGATACTTATGTTTTGACAGGTCCTTCAGACTGAGGCTATGAGGGAGCAACATTTGCTTCACCATAACTTATTCTAAACCCATTGCAGTGTGAAGAGAAATGTGTGCAACCTCATCATCAGCGGAAGATGACGTCTACACAGATGGTGGATAAGTTGAGCCTCACGACTCAAAGTCATTCCCAACCATACTCTTTGATGTTGTTGAAGAAGAACATAATCAACATTGACAGGAGATGTCTCATAGAGTTTTTCATTAGAAAATAGCTGCAAGATTAGTTGTCGTGTGCCATGGTGCCCATTGATGCTTGTCACATCTTATTGGGGAAATTGTCAAACAGTTTGATCGCCGAACTTAGTACGATGGATTCAGCGCATAATTCCTACCTTCTTCAGACTTCGAGGTTACAGGTGCTCTTGCCATTCAGAAAGCACCTGGGGTATAGAGTTCGATGATGATAGAGGATAATGAGACAGAAGAGTCAATTTTAGCCACAGGGCAAGCTCTACAAAGAGTATTTCATGACATCATGATCGATGCATTACCACCACAACTGCCATCATTAGAGGAAGTTCAAAATCTCCTCACATTAGATAGGGATGAGCCAACCATGGGCTACCTTTGAAAGAACCTACAAAATATACTTAGCAAGAAGTCCCAGTTCAGTCTAGTATTGTACCCGTACCCTTAGATGGTTGAACCGATATGGATGACTACGCACAAGTGGGGAAATTAATTCAAGCGTTTTGGGGAACAATGCAATCGATAGTGAGATCCGGATGCTCATATCGTTGCAATCAAAGACCCTTCAATTCCCGGGGATTATAACAACTCTGCTAGCTTCAAAGTGCCTGACTTGATTTTATACTATGAGGAGCAGAAGCTTCGACGAATGAGGTCAAAGTTCTCTCAATCTCAGGAGACCGACGCGAGTGCTCTCTTGGACTGGACACAGTAGGAGGCAGAAGAGGCTTGCTATCTTGGACTAATTCAGTGGGAAGTAGAGGGGCCAACTGGCCTCCTTGGGGGCTAAGTTTGTCGCCCAATAGGAGTGCAAACACCCCTAGTTATTTTAGCATTTTATGTGTTATTTTCTTGTTTCTAATGCAATTTTTTCATGTGTTTTCTGTCGGGACAGCCGTCTGCGTCTCCAAGTTTCTCTTTTTAGGGCTGTATCCAAGGGCAAGGGTGCTCCGGCTCTATCTCGTTTCCAGGTGGTGATTATCCTCAACTTACTTATCTACTGCAATCTTACCTTTGTTGCTGCCTTCACCGTACTTGTGCAGCTACTTTCGGATAATTGTTTCTTTGCCGTTCCTGTAGCCCCCACAGCTTCCTGCTGCCGCATCCCCTCCATCCTCACTGTTTTCTTTTAGCTGGCAACTCCCTAAAACCCTGTTGACCCCCTACCACCCCAGCTGCAACTCCTCCAGACTCCTTCCTTACCTACGTTCAACCCCAACTACACTTTACATTCTGTAGCTAACCACATCCCGTACTTTCTTGCTGCCTGCTGCCCTCCTACAACAGCCACCCTTAGGCCTACTGGCTTCCCAACCCTGCTACCCTCTTTCACTATTCTAGACCCATCACAACCACCTTCCAGCTTCCTTGGCGCCGTTGGCCTCCTTTCTGCTAGCCAATCGCAACCACCTACACCCTTTCCTCCCGCGGATCCTACCACCACCCCAGTGTGGTATAAGTTTAGTTACATTTGTGCTGCGTCTGTTATTGTTGCTCCATTTCCGTGAGTCAGTTTTATCCCCTATTGGCTTTTGCAATAGTAATAATTTTTTTTCAATTGTTGTTTTTGGTTAACTCTGATATCAACACCCCTACAAATAGTTTGGTGATCATTTTAGCCTTTTTTTACTTCTCTATTTTTCTTTGCATAGTGATTTGTTTATTTAATCTCATTCTTGTGTTTTCTTTTTATTGAGTTCGATGTTATTTTTTTGATGAGATGCATAATAGCTCTTTAGTGCGTCATGCTTTCATATTGCATAATCGTGAAGTTATTGTTACTGCAAATTGTACACCAATTACCATGTATTGTTTTTTTTCCTCTTACAATAAGTATGGTCAAATTGCCTTGCATATATCTGAGCTTGTTGCTTTTGCAGGTTCTTTGCAGTTCGGGAGGTGAGAAATTATTATCTCTTGCTGAAGCTTTACTTAAGAAGCATATAGCTTCACATAGTCTGCATGAACCTGAAGGTTTGACTCTTATCTTTTTTCATATTCCAGTTCCAGAAGTGTCACAGCTCTTTAATTTTTCATGTTCCCATCTGAAGAAAAAACACTATTTGGCAGCTTATTTACTTTAACAGTATTTGATACTTGTGATTAACCTTTCAATATTCACGGCAGCTGTTGTCATGTACATTTCCATTCTGGAACAACAAGCCAAGTATGACGAAGCTTTGGAAATTATTTCTGGAAATCTAGGTTCCCTCATAGGAATTGAAGTTGACAAGTTACGTTTGCAGGTAATTCTTGTTTTCACAGCCTTTTTTAAATGGTTTCCCTTTTCCATTTAGTATTTTTTTTCCTTGCTAATTTTGTATCTTCTCCTACGGCTAGCAGAACTTGAAACCTCGAATGGTACTACCTTTTATTTGTGCATGATTTTTTGCACTTTTTTTTAAAATTATTTTCAGTGCATATATTGTTGTTGACAAATGTATCGCATTTACTATGCTTAGTATCCGTTATATATTTATGTATAGAGGGAGGGAGGGAGGCCGGAGGGAGAATATCTTCATGTTTTTTATATGAATCTACAATTTATTAATACAAATAATTGAGATGCGAGACATGCATAGATTAAGGGTTTGATTGGGGTAGCTGTAGCTTAATAATAAGCTGCTGCGCAACAGTTGTCACAGGAAGCTGCTGCGCATAAGCTGTCTGTCTTTTTTTTTGCATTTTGGAAACAACTGTGCTGCAATTGTTTATGGACAAATGACCATTCTGCCCCTGTATAGTAATGATGTTTGCAACAAAACTGTTCATAACGCAACAGTTGTCACAGGAAGCTGCTGGCAGAACTTGAAACCTCGAATGGTACTACCTTTTATTTGTGCATGATTTTTTGCACTTTTTTTTAAAATTATTTTCAGTGCATATATTCTAATTATTGCTGTTGACAAATGTATCGTATTTACTATGCTTAGTATCCGTTATATATTTATGTATAGAGGGAGGGAGGGAGGCCGGAGGGAGAATATCTTCATGTTTTTTATATGAATCTACAATTTATTAATACAAATAATTGAGATGCGAGACATGCATAGATTAAGGGTTTGATTGGGGTAGCTGTAGCTTAATAATAAGCTGCTGCGCAACAGTTGTCACAGGAAGCTGCTGCGCATAAGCTGTCTGTCTTTTTTTTTGCATTTTGGAAACAACTGTGCTGCAATTGTTTATGGACAAATGACCATTCTGCCCCTGTATGGTAATGATGTTTGCAACAAAACTGTTCATATGAATATATTTTATACTTTAAAAGCAAAAATCCAGCATAAAATATTACAAAATAAAGATAGGCACCTCACTTAACAGTGAGTAGCATGATTACTAAAATTAAAAAAAAAATTATTAAAACAATAATTAATAATATGATAATATTATTTTAAAAATGTAGACGACGTATGTCACGTACTAAGTCGTCCTCCAAGGATACTCTTCATGCGTTATCACACTTGGCGGTGGAATCTTCCAACTTATCTACCCATCACAGTTTTTCATGATTCTCTGCGGGCACCTGGAAAACTATCTCCCGTAGCTATGTGGCTGACGTGGAACTAGCAGGAAAATTTGAAGTCTATAGTAGCAGCGCATACTTGGGAGCTGCCATAAATTCTTGAGCTCATCTTTTTTGAATGCTTAAAAAAACATCTCATTAGACATAATAAAAGTAAAAACTGACAACAGAAGTAATTAATTATAATTTTATGCAGCTGTGAGGTCTTAGAGAATTCAGTATATAAATCAACGAATCTGTCACTATAAGAAGACGACATAAGTTATAAAAAATGGGTTCTTGGTTGCCTTTAACCCACGTACTACCAAACTCGTGTGTGTCACATATGCATACCACCAAAAAAGACAATCCAGAAGAACCTCAAAAACTATAGCACCGAAGAGAAGAAAAAACTTGGTTACCTTCATTAGGATTTTACATGTGCCACCAATTAATAGTAACAAACAAACCATTTAGAAGAACCCATAAGGTCGAACGTCTTATCATAGACCTCCAAAACCCACAAAAAAAATGTAAAAGTAAAAAAGTCATTTACAAATTGTGTAAAAATCCAAAATGATCAATATCAAATACACAAAGAACGAAAATAAACATGAACTATATAAATTACCTATACAATAAACAGTGAATCTCTTCAATAATCATTGCAATTAATAATATGATAAAAACTCCATTCACCCTCCAACAATCACATCCGTAATTTCTTCTCTTAACTCTGTTATCTCGCTTTTACCTTTCCCGTCTTTAATACAGGTCTCTAGAATATCTTTTTTGTCGTGTGACAAAGATTGTCCAAGACGGTACTCATATGCTCGGTAGGGACATGCTCATGATCCTTGTCCGCCCTACGGGAGTCCATGTCGTTGCTGGAAGGCTCCAAATATAATTGTGGAGAACCATCGTGACAATCACAATCTGCACCTATTTGGGAAATTGGTAAGATGACATCGCGATGTATAACCCATTTGTTCTTCCAAATACCAATAGTCATCTCAATAACACCGCGTAAGAATGAATGTCTTTTGTTGAATATTCCTTTTCGGTCCCGCGCGACATTGCTAACTCGCTGAAAATTTGGTATGTGGTAGCTCGTATCATGGTAGGGCTTTAAATACCCTCACTGCAACGGATGCCTAACATCAACCAAATAATATTTACTTGATGTGAATTGAATGATTAGTGTTAAAGGAAAAAAAAAAGGAGAGTAGCTCAGTCTCAAGCGAATCAGTGGCCGGATTTGGAAAGTTGTACTTGTTATTCAGTGTTACAAATTTGAAAATTCGACTGTCATGTGCTTTTCCCTCCCAACTGACCATGATAAAAGTAAAACACATGTTGAAATCGCGTATTGCCATGACATTCTGTGTCGGGAACCCACAACGACTGATAAATGCGATCTTTTTCATTATTTAGAACATGTGCATCAACGTGTGTTCCATCGACTGCTCTAATACAATTCTAGAAAGATAATGAAGAGTTACGTAATTATGATATCTATATGAAAATTGAATGTAATAAATTAAAAAATTTATCTTAAAGTATGACATTTACCGCGCATCATGCGAAATCTCTGTGGTAGTCTGTTCGAATGTAAGATCTGTTGGTTTTATGACTTGTGAAGAAAAATTGACAAGTGCATTCAACCCCACGGAGAAATATATGCAAATCATTTCAGAGGAGTGTTGAAATTGCTCCATAACTCCTTATATTGATTCATTTTGCGATAATATGTAGAGGGTTATTGCCAACGCCTCTCGCGAAGTTGTTCTGGATAAGCCATGAAGTTCATTATTACTCTGTAGTTCCTCTAACAGACTGGTGAATACCGGCTGTATCATGCGAAATATATTGCTAAATCTCATTGTGTGACCCACATGCAACTTCCCAACCCATTTGTCTCCAACATATGAAGCCATGAAGTTCATTATTACTCTGTAGTTCCTCCAACAGACTGGTGAATACCGGCTGTATCATGCGAAACATATTGCTAAATCTCATTGTGTGACCCGCATGCAACTTCCCAACCCATTTGTCTCCAACATATGATAATGTCATGTAAAGTGAGCGCTCTATGTACATGTTATAATATTCATACATCAAACATACGATGATAGGTGCAACTCTCCTTCTACACCTTTTTCTAGTCGCATTCATGTATTTCAGTATCGAAGTGACTAACACATAAACATCAATGAATTAGCTACAAGGTTACGAACAAAACCAACATAAACAAATAACATTACAAAAGTAAATAGAAAACATAACGATGAATGAAGCAACATAAATATCCAAAACATCATGAAAAACCATAAACAAATAAAAAAGTCTCACAAGAATCTAATTAAAAAAAGTGTCCCTCAAATGTCACTGCTTCCATGAAAATAAGATAGGTAAGACACCCTACGGTCAGCTGACATCACTGTGAAAAACTCGCTCCGGGCCGAATTTTCAAGCAACTTCATAGAGAACAATTACAATGGTCTGTCCTCAGAAATTTCAGGAGTTGCATCCAAAATTCTCATAACCTGCTGGATAGAAATTGCTTGTGATGGACTGAGGTCATTGGTGCTTGAAACCACCAACTATGAGATTCGACTTCTAAGGAAAGAAGCTCCCTCATTCTTTTTTTTTTTCAACTCGGGGATGCTTTGACCGGATGAACTCAACTTCATGGAGGTCCGGGCTGGGGCCTTCAATAGAATCACACGTTTGGTTAACTCCCAAATTTCCTGGGATGCCACCCAACCCTACCTCACTGGGGGCACATGCATTGTTGCCCGTTATCACGACACCTCCAAACAGACGATCAAACTTCTCCTCTAACTCAGGATCGATTCTATCGTTTTTAATTTTTTTTGCAGGAGACACCACTTACAAATTCATATGACATGTTGGATTTAAAACAAATTAAAAATTGACAAAAATAGGGGATATTTAAAAAAGGCTCACCGTCAGTCTCTCTGCGCGCTACTCGTAAGCATCAATCGTTTACTTTACTAGATCCCACCTCAAGCCCGTTGATCATCGCTTCAATTCTTTCCATATTTTTCAACTCTTCTTTAGCTAATCCCACTTGTTTTTAACTGTCTTCTATGATACTCTCTGCCTTTACTTTCCTTGAATTTTTTAATAATATTTTGACAGACTTCCTTGTTGAAATAGGTTGTCAGCCTATTTCACAGTTTAACCTTGTTGAGGCAAATGTCGCAAAATATTAATTTTGTCTCTTTATCCCACATTGGAGATGAACCGACCTTCTTTTTCTTAACCATTGTATTGCTAGCATGAAGAAAAACTAATTAACCTAAATATGAATGCCACAATATCAGAACTGAAAGAAAAATAAAATTGTCACAATATCAACACCAATGCCTCTCCCTACCACACTGCAACACCATCTACACATCACCACTGACCCCACCTCCACACACAAACACCTCTAACTTAAAGAGGCACAGAGCAGACCCCCCCCCCCCCCCCCCCCCACCCACCCCCACCACCACCTCTACATAGGGCTGTCAAAACGACTCGTCGTTCGCGAGCAGCTCGTATTCAGCTAGTTAGGAAGCTCATGTTCGACTCGTTTTGGCTCAAAATACTAATGATCAATTATATATATATGTATATATATATATTGATGAGTAATAGTTTTAAAAAAATTAATTGACTGCAAGGCTATAAAGATTACTAGCAACAATACAAACACCCTCTTTCAGCAATTTCTCAAACTCTCACTCAAACATCAAAGTTAAAGATAAAACCTCATTCTATAATTTTCATTTTCAGGATATCACATACAGGGCACCCAAAACATTGCTAACAGCAAATCAGGCACCATCTTTCTACAATTTCTCAAACTCTAACAGAAACATCAAAGCTGAAGATAAAACTTCATTCCATATTTTTCTTTTTTAAAATTCTACATATAGGGCAACAGGAAATTTGCTAGCAACAAATCAAACACTCTCTTTCATTCATTTCTCAAACTCTCACTCAAAAATCAAAGGTAAAGGTAAAGCCCCATACCATATATTTTTTTTATTTTTAAGATATCACATACAGGGCACCCGCAACATTGCTAACAAAAAATCAAGCACTCTCTTTCAGTTATTTCTCAAATTCTCACTCAAACATCAAAGGTAAAGATAAAACCCCATTCCCTATTTTTTTCATTTTTAGTATTCTGCATACAGGGCACTCGAAACATTGCTAGCAACAAATCAAACACCCTCTTTCACCTATTTCTCAAATTATAAGAAAAACATCAAAGGTAAAGGTAAAACGCCATTCCATATTTTTCATTTTTAGGATACCACATACAGGGCACCCGAAATTTTGTTAGCAACAAATCAAGCACTCTCTTTCAGCAATTTCTCACACTCTCACCAAACATCAAAGGTAAAAATAAAGTTCTATTCCATATTTTTCATTTTTGGGATGCAACATACAGGGCACCTGAAACATTGCTAGCAACAAATCAAACACTCTTTTTCAGGCATTTCTCAATCTTTCACTCAAACATCAAAGGTAAAGATAAAACCCAATTCCATATTTCTCGTTTTTAGGATACCACATAAAAGGACACCCAAAACATTGTTAGCCACAAATCTAGCACCCACCTTCATTCAGTCATTTTTCAAACTCACTCAAATATTAAAGGTAAAGATAAAATCACAAATCATAAAGAGAAAACCACAAATCGCAAAATCTAAATTCTCACTTCAAACCGCGAATGAGAAAGCCACAAATTGCTAAGAGAAATTCATTACATCGGAAAAAAAATATGTGATACCGTAGGAGGATGGAGAGCACAACAAACAAATAGAGAGAGCCGGAGATCGGAGGGAAGAGGGAGAGTAGAGAGGCAACCCATTGCTACCAGAGATCGGAGGGAAGAGATAAAAGAGAAAGGCAACCCGTTGCCATCGGAGAGAGACACGAGAGAGGAACGATCGAGAGAGGTGATCGACAGAGATGAGGGCAGAAGAAATGCGAGAGAGATAAGGTCAGAAGAAACACACGAGACAAATAGCGTAATAAGGGTAGAAGAAACGTGTGAGAAAATGCGAGCCGCGGGTTCTACGATAAGCGGCCATGCAACTGTTTCCTAACACTTTTTCCGGCGTTTTCAAAATGCGCCGCACCAATTAAGCCGCCCCAAACGAACCATAAGTTGATTGATGCATCCTAAAAGAGTTAAATGGTGTGAGAAATGCTAGGGGTGCTATCTAAAAACAACAGATTTTTTGGAAGAACTGGGAATTTTATTAATATTTTGAGATGGAGGAAATGTTGAAATTGAATTTGTACTGTTCTATATATTATAGTTCTTTTTTGTTTTATTTTCGGTTACGAAAAGATTTAATGAGCTATCTAGATAATGCAAATAAATGCCCTTTGACACTGGTTTTGTTAGATCTAGCTGTTTCCAGAGAATAGCTATGGAAGCCACATGTGAAGTGCCGGACAAAGAAACATATCTAACGTATGAGCCCCGTACCAATGTAAGTTTGTGAAGGATTGATGTTTGAAACCTATCAGGAGGGCTGCTAGAGCGGCTACTAACTTGGCGATATAGAGAGTATATTTGAATAATTCTTATCCCCGGTGTCAGTCTAATAATTCATGCAAATACACCTTTCATGAGAAGTTCCAAAATATACTTATTAGTTAAAGTCTAGTCAATCTGGACACTTTCGTGTGGACCAAAGTGCCTATTTTGTAAGCTCAATCATTTGATTTGATTAATCTGTACAATGACAATGTAAAACCCATAAATTTGAAACAAAATGTAGAAATGTACATATTAACGCATGACCATGCAAAATGACTCTTATGGATTTCCAATATAATTTAAAGCCAAATTTAATTTCATTTATATCTGTCTCAACTAGAAGATCACTTAATTTGAAGGGATAGTCATTTGACTAAAGGGATGATGTCACTTTGGAAGTGCCCAGTTCTTGCTCTTCTCTTGGCCTATAATTTGAGCTCTAATTTACTTAATTTTAAAGGAATTATAGGAAAAGTTTTTGAACATATTTTGTTTCTTAAATTTCATTTGCGAATGAGAACATAAGCTTGGTTGCATATCTAATAATGAAGTATACAAGTATATTGACTTATTTTGACACTGAAACACAGTATATTCTGCATCTGAAAACGTTAATGTCCATTCCTGATTTGCCTTGGATATGTTTAATATATTTTTGAGTCTCTTATAGCTGTTTATGACATCAAGTTGACAGGGTAGGCTTCTTGCTCGTGCATGCAACTATGCTGCTGCCTCTGAGATTTACCAAAAGATCCTAGAATCACGGTAAGTATGTTATGTCAATAGCTACTGCTAATAAAAATATCATTTGATTCTTGAGAAATTTTGTTTGTTTATGGGGCACGTAAAGGTTTCTAAATATTAATACATGTGCTTTGCTATTGTGGTGATCATTACTTATATTACTATATAAGAACTGTAGAAATTTATGCTGCCTTTTGTAGGTATGGGCTAGACATTACATTTATTCTGAACCCTAACACAGTCTACCATTTTCTACTTGGATGTTAATTTTTTTATCTTTTTGTTATTGTTATACTAAGGATTCTTCCCCCAATTCTTTCCTATAAATCTGTCTATTTTCACAATGCAGGTTCTTAATATCTACGAATGAGATGCAAGCTTTTGTTTAGATTAATGATATCATCTGTAAATAAAACTTCCAATTTGTGGTTTAGATGCAATATAGCTTTAATTGCGCTGAAGATCTTCATTATCCACTGTTATGCGTGACTATTAGCCATATATATTTCTACATCCACATATATGTTTAGTAATTAGGTGGATTATTTCCTTTTGTCAGTTTATTTGTGAAGTGTGCAAATTGGAGTGTAGTTGGCTGGGGAATGACATGCAACACTTTACAAATGCATATGCAGGATGTGGAGGAGAATGTGGTGGTGGGCTATACTTTATTAATATCGTTGTTGGAACAGTAGTTATTGAGCCTAAGGTAGTAGATAATATATTAATTTGCTGCGGTTCTTATCCTAAATAGCTGCAGATTTAACTATTTGAAGGTAGACTTGGTTAAAAATGTTAGGATGGAGGGTCGGGTGTAGATAATTTGGCTAGAAGTTTTCAAATTAACTCCACATACTATTCTTAATTGGAATGAAAATGAAAGTTGGTACTCCAACTGGTTTTGTTACCCAAATGTAAATTAAATTTCTAATTGTATTTCTAATTCGCTTCCATTTCTTTGATCAAATTATAATCTACTTAGTTGTTACGCCATTTTAATTAGATATTTACATTATTTCACATATTTTCAATATATTATTGTGTGTTTTTTAGAGTGAATTAATGAGCTTTGTTTATAACGTATCTCTATTGGTCACCAACATTTGTGCTGTAGATGTATTTTTTTTCACATTATTTTGCTTGTGATAGTTTTTTAATGGGCAGTCCCGATGATTGGGGTTCATTCCTCAATTACTTGGGCTGTTTGTTAGGGACTGATTTCAGTTGGTCAACAAGCACATCTAGCCAACTATGTTCATCAGATAATGTTGATTTTCAAGGCTTCGAATCAACCAATCTTTCCCTGGAAGTGGTAACTTTCTGTTTTGTTATTTGATCTTTTTGTGACTAAATAAATCTAAACACTTTTTGTAGCAATAATGGTGATTACTGTCTTAAAATGGAACTTTATTTTAATTCTGCAGTTTGATTCACGCATACAAAATGCATTGTCTTTTGTGCAAAAGATGCAAATGGAAGTTCATGATGGTCTTGCTAGATGCCCTTACTTGGCATCCATTGAAATAGGAAGGCAATGCTGCCTTAGGGGAAAAGCAGATGCCATGCTGTTGGAAGCTTTGTTAAATTACTTCCGCAGGTTCTTTTCTCATGTGTCCTCCTCCTTTTTATATTGGCTAAGTTTCTAACCTAGCAGCATAGTTACAGAGGACCCTTACCAGTTTCATTCCATTTCTTAGCATATGCACTTCTTGTAACTCTTCTAGTTGTGAAATAAAATATACCTCTCTAACTTAATGGAACATGTTTTCTTTAGTATTCAATTTTTGTTTTTTTGATCAACATTAAAGAAGAACTGTAACGACATAATGTCATGACCCGACCTGAGACTTAGAATTAAGTAAGGCCGGAATCGATGGTCGGATGGTAGAAAATTTATTTTGTTTATATTCATTTTTTGTAATTAACATTTAACAAATAAAAGAGCCATTATAATAAAAAATATAAAGTAATATAGTTAAATTTACCTCATTTTTGATTTTCTGCGTCTTTTATAAACTTTTTTTCTTCAATGGCTCATCTTATAATAACTAACACTTAATTAAAATTAATTTAATAAATAATTTATATAAATATTATTATTAGCTCTACTCACCTTGTATGCTCGGCTCCTCCCTTGCTCACATGAAAACATTCAAGGCTACTATCTCATACAAACATGAGCTTTCTCTCTAATGCATGCACGGTTTGCCTCCTCCCCCTTTCTCCTTCTGCGCACAGGATGCACGCACAAACCTTCTCCCCCGCATTGGAGCCCCTCTCCTACAAGCCAAGCTGCTTGAAATGGCTCTACACCTACACACGAGAGCACCCTCCTCTCTGAAATTTGGCTAAGATTTTGTCCGGTTTCTTCCTCATCCTCCACACTCGGTGTTGACATCTTCACTTTGTGGAGAGCACATACACTTGCCCTAGATGCACGTCCGTCATCTTCCTCCTTTATGCTAGAGCCCGCAGTGTTCCTAATGGAATTGAATCTCCAGGCATGAATCCTCTTGCTATCAATCTGTCAGACTCTCCTTTTTCTTTCTCCTCCTTCTCCTGCTATCAATCTGTCAGACTCTCCTTTTTCTTTCTCTATGTCTGTCTCTCGATCACACATGTAATTACCATCGGTTTGAATGAAATGTTCGATACCTAAGAACCTAATTGAGACGCGATTGGTTACAATCGTCATAGATGAATTAAAAATTTATTTATTTTGTTTTATTTTATTTTATTTTTATTGATTATTACACTTAAATTTTTCGAGCTGCATAGAAACTCAACAACTCAACCCTAGAACAAATAATATAATAGCAAAAGCATAAAATTGCAAAATTAGTTTAAATTAAGTGAAATTTCTTAGCTAGCATTTAACACTATCAATAATCTTATTTATTTGCTAACAAGAAATTTTAGATAGCTTGTTGCTGATGGTGGTGACTATGAAATAAAATTATATTTTATTTTAAGAATGTTATTAAGACATTCTTTGAAGATAAACACTTCTTAATTCACCTGTGGTATTAAGACATTTCTAGATTTCTGTTTATGCTATTTTTTAACTTACTGTTGTTTTTGTCCAGTTATATGGTATTGGACCACTTTATTATAGCTCTTTCTAAACATTGTTCCTAGTTATCATAACTAACTTTCTCTTACCTATTTGGGTAATTTATAAATCCTTTTTATTTCTTCATTTCTTGTTGTGATTGCTACATGTGATATTGACTCAGGTTTATGGAGCTTTTTCCACACTTATATTCATGATATCTTTGATCTCTAGTTTTATTATTGCCTATTTCTTTCGCATTCATTCTTTCTTTGTACCTATTTGTCTTGTCCTTTGCTCTGGTTGTGTGTGTCCAAACCTCTTCAGTCGATTTTTTAGCTGTGATATCCCATAAAATCACTTGTATAACAAGAAAAATGCTAGCTAGCTTGAAAGCTCTGGGCAAATTCAATATTAGAATTGGCCTTGTTAGGATGAATATGAAACTGTCAAATCTTCTTAGCTTGCTTGATCCGACCCATTTAATATTTATTCTATCTTGTGCTGGTAGAGAAAACTATCCTTGGATAAATATAGCCTTTGCCAATTAGAATGCGATCTTTTTTAGAAGCATGTTATCTCCTTTTGTTTTCTTTAGAAGGTCCTTTATGTCGCTTGTTTGGGTAGAGAAGCCCTAACCATAGATCAAAAAGCCATTGGCATCATTAGAAGGCCATTATTTTGTTTTTATTTTGATATAGATATTTTAATCCTAGCCAGCAATTTTCTTAGCCACTTTAGAAGGTTGCCAACTCTTTTTGCTAGTCTAATTGGGAGCCCTAAATATCTTTCAAGTTGATGCTACCTTGATCCCCTTTTATTCTCTTTTTGTCTCTCTCTCCATCTCGCTACCCTTTCTTATAATAAAATTTCATTTGAGCTCTAAAAATATCTGCTCTGTTTTTCTAAGAGAGTTTTATTATGGTTTTGATATAAAGTTCAACAAAGTTGATTAGATTTCTAAATAAGACACGACCTAGTGATTTTGATATTATTTTGTGATGATTTTCTAATATTATTTCATATTTTCTTTAGGTGGTTACCTCATTCAGTAAGGAGAGAGAACTTTGGATTAAGGCTAATCATTAGGTGTTGAGAGTTTATAGCCTATAGTAGTATTTTGGTTTTAGGTTAAGAAATTTAACATTTTTAGCTAGCAGGGAGAATGTTGATAAACTTGACGAAGATCTCATGATTATATTGTTATGATTTGTCATGGAACATATTTTAATAAATGGAGATAATCTACTCAACCTCACTTTAAGATTATTATAAGTAGTCATAAGTTGCCCCGTCTTGGGGGATATTATAGATATGGGATAGATGTTTGTTTTAGGCGATAGAATTAAGTTGATCTTAGCTAATAGCGAATTTTATCTTATTAGGTGCAATCTATGGTTCACAAGGGGTTGGTAGAGCAATCGGAAAATATTTGGGCATTGGTTGCATGTTGGGTGAGAGGAGTGAATCAAATAATAATAAAAATAAAATTAAATTATTAAATTATTTTGCAATTTATGATCATATTTGTGTTGTTTTTGGCAAGAACTTCTATAGAAGAAGAGATGAAACAAAATTCAAGAATTTTCAAGGTAGTGTCACAACCTGGCCTGAGAGGTTGGAATTACCAAGGCAGAAAGTATCGGTTGGACGTGAAAAATATTTTACTTTATTTCATTTCTGCTAAGATAATGCTTAGTAGGAATATTAGTGAGGTAACCAAGAATAGAACAATGAAAAATTATGCTATTCATAAGTGTGTTTATAAATGTAAGAGGATCATTCAAAATTATATATTGATTATGCTGAAAATGTGGTACAACTGTAGATTTTGAACGCCCCTCTTTGATTTATAAATTCTGCCTTTAAACTGAGGTTTTAAGGAATTCTTCAGAGGAGTAATTGTTTTCCAATTTTGTTTTAACTGGAAGCAAAATTTGGTTTTATAAAGAATCAACCTTTGAGGATGGGGAGATGAAACCAGAGTTAGGTTAAACAACAACGAAAAAATAGGCTATTATTGTTGAATTCAAAATATGTAAACATAATCTCACAAAAGAAAATAGAAATAACAATAAGCACGACACAACAAACTCAAACTAGGCTGGATCTCGTGGTGGGGGTGGTGATCCCTTAGAGTTTGGACCTCCAGAGAGGTAAGAAAAAAGGGCGGTTGGAAGGCAGGATGGTGGAGCGACAGCAAGGGGACGATGGTGGTAGCAATTGGGAGGTGAGAAACTACCTGAACAATGAGACAACGATTGTCCTGGGCGGTGGCAGCAAGAGTGAGGGGCTGGACAACGGGTAAACAATAACATGAAAGATTGGCGGGGTTGTGACATCGAACGTGGAGGGCAAAGACAACGATACCTATGAAGTAGAAGGCGGTAACAGTAGCGCCAACGAAGGGAGGAATGAGTTGGAGGGTTGAAAAGTCTGGGATGAATACTCCCGTGAGAACAAGTTATAGCCGGTGCACAACTCGATCCCTTAAAGGGAGATCACCTCCTCAGACGAGCTTGAGTCGGAGCACCACCCTCCATTGGATGTAATCTAGAAGAGAGAAAGAGGACGTTGAAGGATGTCCCGATAGAATTCATATGACAAAACTCATAGCCTAAAGACAAGAATCAAATATCTATGTAATTAGCATTGAGTCCACTATTGAAAGGAGGTGCAAAATCTTCTTAAGGTCAACCCTTAATTCGCTATTTTGAACTAGTCCCAAGTTGCTAGGAAGCTTCCCATCTGGTCCAGGTTGCAAAATTGGTTTGTTGTACTGTAAAAGATAACGCGTAGACGTCTCTTTGGGTAGCTTATGCATCAATCTCTCAGGATTAGAAGAGCTTCGATCTCTTCTATCAAAACTTCTATTTCCTTATAGTAGTTTGGTCAACCCCATTGATGGTAGAGGAGATGTTGCAAGCTCCCGGTATGTCAACTTGTAGACGTCATTCAAGAACATTTCTTGATAGAATAAGTATCCATCCTCTTTTGACACAACTTGATCCGATTCTACATATTGTTCTAGATTCTGACAAGCCAAATTTTGAGCAAGTAAATCTATCATCTGCTTCTCCCACTTCTCCTTTGCTGGATGTATTTGATAAATAAGTTTGTATGGAGGAATGAAATATGAAACTACATCTATGGCAAACTGGGCTACACTGAAGTATAGCCACTCAGGAGAGGTCTCTTCTTATTCTCTAGAAGGACTTGGATTCCATTGTAGGACGTTCCTTCCTACAAAGCTCCTGAGGTGATTTCCAACATTGTGGGTTATCTATCATGGCTTATCATTTGTCGGTGGGTATACTGTTGAAATGATTTTAATACCCAAAAAACTTCATAAAGTCTTCCAAAAGTGGCGTTAATGAGTCTCGTCTCTGACATGTTGAACCTCTCTCAGTAGGGGTAACTCAGAAAGTAGATAATATATCTGAAAAGTTTGAAATTCTCTTATATGGGATTGCCATATGTATGGCATCGATTCCTCGAATTCAAGACCATTTTGGGCAACCACTATTAATTCTGTTGGAGTATCT